AAAATAATAATTCTCAAATAGTCTCTGTCATGTTCAACAGGGGCAAGAAGAAGTTAAAAAAAAAATTCCTACCCCCTCTAGCATATATTTTTCTTATAAATAAAATATTAGGTCATCGTCATCAGCGACATGTTTGTCTTGTTAATTTGTTTGCTTTTTGTTTTTTTACAAAACAATAAGAAAGAAATTACTTTTACAATTACAAGAAATAACAACAAATGGGATTTTACATGTCCTGTTCATAACCATTAATGATTTGGCTCCTCAATAATACTTTCAGTTTAGATAGACTTGTACAATATTTCAGTGCATCATTACAGTTATTCCACAGACTAACACCTTTTGATGAGGTGCAATGAAGTTCGGCATTTGTTCGTACGGGTGGTTTTTTGAAAATAGTTTATTCACAAGCAAAACCCCAGACATGAATAAACACATTTGTGCAGATTATGTTGCATAAGGATTCATTTTCTCCTTATTAGATCTGGATAGACCAATTGAGTCAATCATTCATGTTTTTGTTAGACAGGTGTAAGTTGTGTGTAAAATGATGTCAGAAGTCTGGATGCAAAGGACCCTGAATAAAGTGAAGTTTACTCGACACTGAAGTGTCTTTGAACCTGCGCCAGCCCTCAAGTGTTTCTCAGCAGACCTACAGGCGAGACAGCCGCTTAAAGGAAACACTGATTTAATATTGGGGAAGTCAATTAATTCAACCCTCACGTGCATACACACACACACACACAGAAAATGAACAGACACACACACAGGATGTTATATCTCCTGTGATCGCCAGGGGTATACAGGCCCAAAGGTGTTTATCTCTTTTTTTAACAACAATGAATGGCATAGTTGGAATAGTTTGGGACAGGATCACGGTTATCTACACTCGTCCTTGAGTCCTGTACCAATACACACGTGCACACACACACCTCCCCACAAAGCACGTTTAACAGCTTTCCTGCAAGCTATTGTGTCTGCTGGAAGATGGGGCATCCTGGTCCGAACCACCAGATTAAACAAGCCACCATCCCTCTTTCCTCCCCCCCTGTTTCTCTCTTCCTCTTACATACATATCTCCCTCTCTCTTTCTCTTCTTCTACTTCTCTCTTCCCATCTCTGTTTCTGCTCAAGAGACGCTAAATAGTATATTTGTCTTTGGCTTCAGACGGATCCATCTGTCCATCAATCCATCTGTTTTTGCCCTCACCTAGTCTCCTCTCTTCCTCCATGTGTCCGGTGATCCCCGAGTAACCCCAGAGGAGCGTTCTGAAAACTGTTTTCCGAGCTCAGTTGGTCCTCCAACAAAAGCAGAATGAGACGAGACACAAACACCCATCCCTCTCACCAAATGCCTGCCAGCCGCCAATGTCTTGTCTCCCAGCTAATTAATAACGTATTCATTTCTTCACACTTGCCATTTTCTTTCTTTGTTCTAAACCCATCCTGCAGAGGTTTATTTTATTAGTGGCTTTTAAAGTCAAATGTGTAAAAAACATTATTGTTTTTGTTCTGGTTGTGAATTAGGACATATTTGTGAAACTATAACATCTATTTATTGATAAACTACATGTGTAAGAGAACATTGTGACAGCTGTTGTTTTTTTCCACACATGCAGATGTTGTGTGAGGATTGATTATCATGACTCACGCTGGTCCTTTGAGACTTTAACTCGTTAGACATGCTTTTTCTTATGGTAACAATCCCTCTGAATGCAGACAGTGTGCACACAATTTGCTAAAAATGGCTCAGTTTGTCCTGCATCATTAATTGTTGATTTGTGCACTTCTTGGTTTCTGAACAAACAGTGCTTGGAAACATGAATAATACTTTTCACCAGGAATATTTTGGATTTTCTAGGTTTTGGAAAATCACAATTGTTTAAAAAATAAATAACGTCTGCTTCTATCATTTGTCAAAGTTCAGCCAATTAGTGTGAAAAACAATCTTTAATTCAGCCAATTAGAATTTAGAAAATGTCTGTTCATGGTTCCGTTCTTCCTCAAGTTTCTCCCACTTGTTTCCCCTTAAAGGGTTTCCCAGTGTTTTTCCAGATCTGAAGCGAGGGTCTAAGGACAGATGGTGTTGTATGCGGCACAGATTGTAAAGCTCCATGAGGCCATTTTGTCCTTTTGATATTGGGCTACATAACAAAACTGTCTTTGGTTGATTTACATTCCAATTCGGCAGGATATATTACTTTATGATTCTCTCAGTTAAACTTTATTTGATCTCCTGTACCAAAGTGTAATCAGCTGGTATGTAGGTTTAATCTGTTTTTCATTTTTTGTCTCATTTAAGAGGTTTCCTTTTCGATTTGACCGTTAACGAGCTCAGGCAGTTTGTCCTGGCACCTCCGCTGATGACTTTCAAGGAAAATAAATACTGAAAATGTCACTTCCTGCTCTGATGAGCAGACGTAATTACCCCACTGAAACAGGACATCCTGTCCACGCTCTCTACGGGGGAATTAGGATTAGACCAGTTACAGTAATGTGCTGTCGATGCCCTTTCCATTTAAGGTTTGAATGTGTTAGCAGCAGAAAGTCTCAGGGGACATAACAAACCACACGGCTTTTAACATCTTCAAATCTTTGACCATCAAAATGGAAATTTTTTAGATTTTAGAGCTTAGGTCACAGTAACACCAGACTTTGTTTGGTGAGTTGCCCTGAATGATTATGTAATGCATATTTTCAAATCAAATCAAATCCAGTTTTATTTATATAGCACATAAAACGATTTTTGGTCGAGCCAAACTGTCGAGCCACTGCACATACAGTAAAAATACTTTGCAATAAGGACACTTTACAACAAATACAACAGCACAGTTTGTGCAGAATATCAGTATGAGAAAACGACATATATATATAAAACATATTTGAGGATGAGGAGCCTGCAAAAAACAAAAACATATTTTGTTTTAAATCTTTTCAGTTCAGCCAGCCTGGAGGTTGGAGGCTGTCGAGGGATCGGAAAGCACCCACCTTCTTCACCGTTGTGCTGACAGATATCGAATCAGACCGGCACTACTGCTCCTGCCTCACTTTTTACGAGGCTGAGGTCAATCTGCAGGTAAGACTGCAACACACACACACACACACACACACACACACACACACACACACACACACACACACACACACACACACACACACACAATGGCTCATTCGCAGGTGAATACTTTCGAGAAGTGAACTGTTCTTGAACATCTTTGTGCGAGTGAATATTTTTGCTCTTATTGTGCATTTTTTGCTCATGTATTGATTTATTTGATCATTCTCTAAAAGCTTCATCCTTTCCAGCATCACATTGAGCTGTAGCTTCTCCCAGAATTCAGAGGTTCAAATGTTTCCGTTGATCACAGGGCCAACGCATACAATCACAGCCATAAGAGTCCCCAGTCCCCCTGATGTACAGCTGCTTTAGTACTGTTTGAGTAAACCACATGAAAACCCACAGGAACATACTAATGTGTAAACTGTACACAGGACGGATCACTGCGAGGGAACATGGCTAACCACTGAGCCACCATGCATTACTCATTAATCCTGATGTAGTGAGCCTGAATGCACAAATACAGTATAATAGTTTGGAAAACAGCTGTGCATCACATCAGTGTGTGCAGCAGGCTCCTCATCCTCAATAAGAGGCTCCTCATCCTCAATAAGAGGCTCCTCAGATCATCATAATGATAATCCTGCCTGTGTTTCTCAAAATGATTCTTAGAAGCCATCAGGATGTCTCAGTTGTGGTGGCTGGTATTTTCTGTTTTCCATGTTCAGTAAATTGTTCTTTGGCAGTTTATTTTGTAACTTCTAGGAAATGTAATTCGTCTTCAAAATGTGGAGGCATTAGTAGAAAACAAAGGCTGCTAATAAATTGTGAGCTGGCTGAGTGATGCGTTTATAAAGGAGAGGAAGGGCATGTTCTCCCCACCCCCCAGGGCTTTTCATTTGATTTACTCATGCATAAAACATTGTGTTTGATTTCACATTAGTGGTCAAGGCACAATGTTCAGAAATCCCATAAATTATTCGCAACAACACATTTATTTGGATGGAATAATTGTTATACCTGTTAATGATCCCGTTAATGTCCCTCCCTGCCAAAAGCTCACAGAATACCAGGCTAATTGTTTCACTGTGTTCTCCTTTGTTAGAGGCCTTAAATGACTCCTGTCGCTCTGCCCGCCGTGACTTCACATCCTTTAGCATATGAAAGGAAATATGCGTCAACCTTCAGAGGCACTTTGGTGAACTTTCAGAATCAGTGTTGTATAGTTGATCCGTTCATCATTACTTCCCCGTCTCGGCTTGTTGTGTGAATAATGACACAAACATTCCTCTGATTGCACAATTTATTTATATAAACTAGTCAGAGGAGAAGGAATTTAGAACAAAGTGTTCATCAAAGAAAGAAATGAACTGTAGCTGCGTGTATTTGTTGTGATGTTTTAGTTTTGATGGCACCTTTTAAAAGCGAGAAGCTTTTCTTTCTTTCACTGTACATTTATAATGACATTAAATGATTCTATTCTATTCTTAACCAAAAATAGCTGGTCGGTGCCTCAGCTCTAGACCTGTGTATGGAGGCAATCTGGTGTTGCAATACGTATCATGATACAGATGTAATTATTTAGTATATTGAGACACTGAAAGAAGGGCTACATGCAATTTAAGAACATCTAATTTAAGTAAAAATGTCCTAGTATAAATAACACTATGCCAAATTTAAAAAAAACTACTTTTTATTAAATCAGAGAGTGGGATCTGTGTTCCCTGGTCGGTTTTCTTTCCTCACACAGGCTCATCCGAGAGAATATGAGTTATCAATAGCCGCGTTCACACCGGAGTACTTTTCCCACAATAGTTCACCAGAACTACGATATATTTGCGCTCACACCAAAAAGCCCCAGGAACTAAATTAGTTCATGAGAACCTTTTTACCCCCTTTTCAGTCCCTGCTAGAGAGCAGAGACTTTCGTGGGAGAAAAAGGTTCCTATTTCTGATTGGCTGGACTGATTGCGAACCACGCCCCGTCAAACTCCCAAACACTTTTGTGAAGCCGCCATTTTATTATCCTCGCATTGCATTATTAGCATTAGCATTAGCCCAGCGTAGAAACGCAGAGAGGCAAATGTATGGCAACACAAAAGAAAACATGGGAGCGGTGGAGATGAGGAGGTGTCGGCGTTCTGGCGATTTACTCGGAAGGCTTCAGTAGAAGCTGCTGGGAGTCTCAGCTACTGAAGCCAGTCCCTAACTCCGGGGACTTCCGGCCGGGGACTTTGGGTGGCAGTATACGCCGTGAAGTTGTTTGCGGCCTGCCAGTAAACCCAAAGCAGAAGAAGACGAAGTGATGTCAGCGGCTCATTTGCTTAATCTTCCCTCAGGGAACTTATTCCGGTGTGAACGCGATCTGTACTTAGTGCCCTGGGGTACTGCCACCGGCCGGAAGTCCCCGGAGTTGGGGAAGAACGGGGAGAAC